CCCCCTCCTGGCTGCTGTCACTGCACCCCCCGTTCCTCATCCCCGCTCCAGCGCGGGCGCGAGGGTGGCAGGGAAGGGGCTGGCGCCGTGGCGAGGGGAGAGGCGGCGGTGGCAGCGCCGCCACCCGCGGGGCTCAGCCCGGTGCCCCTAGCATGGTGCCTGCCACCTCGCGCTCCCCTTTGCCACCCTGTGCGTAACGGGCGGGCGAGGGCAGGTGTGCTTGGACCTTGCCCCGGAGCCGCTTTCCCTGCACAGCCCGAGGGCCGGTTATTCCAGCTGCACGCGGGTGCTGCGCCCACCTTCCTGGAAGGCTGTGTGGGCAGTTGGGCCTCCCTAGAGCCTCGTCCCGGCTTGTCACCAGAGGTGACAGCGCGGGAGGCCGACGGGGCAGCGCAGGGACGTGTGCCCTGCATGAGCAGCGGTGCCTGCGCCTGCCCTCTGCGCAGCCGCGAGGCCGAGCGGCTTGGGTGGGCGCAGGGAGACGGGCTGGCTCAGCCAAGGGCTRCACATGCCAGCGGCGGAGCCCGCGACGAAAAGCCTCCGTGTTTCATCTTTGCTGGGGCTAAGGCAGCGAGACCCCCTTTGCCACGTGCAGGACACCGTCACTCGCCCCGTGCCCTCGGARGTGGCCCGCGTAGCTGTGTCACCCACGTGTGACCCGCTCCCCGGGAGCGAGATGCGGCGCCAGACGAGCTGCAGCGYTTGGCTGCCCTGGCGGGAGCTTGGCGGGAGCCTCACGCTGTCCTCCCCGGAGCTCGCTGCCTGCGCGCGGGGGCACGCGGGACAGCCCCGGCCGCGGAGCCGTGGCGGGCAAGCACCGCTCACGGGGGCCCGCGGGGCGCCCCAGGGCCCCGTCGGGGACGACACCTCCTAGGTAACCGTCTCCGCATCCATCTGGTTGCCGGGCTCCTCCATGGCAGCCTTGCTGCTGGCTTCTGTCTGAGAGGGGCTTGAGGGATTTGATGGCGATGGAGCCTGGCCTTGCCATCTGTCAGGCTGCCACGCGGACTGGCCACCGTGTGCGCTCCGGGGAGGCCTTCGGGTGTCCTGAGACTATGGCCTCGAGAGGCTCCTTCCCTTCCCTGGCTCTGCGCTGGTGTCCGCCTCCCAGGGAAGTGAGCAGGTTGCAGGGAGGCCCCTTCAGCTCTGTGGTGATCCCCCAGGACACGGTGTGGCACCGGTGTCCCCAGGCACGGGGACCCCAGCGCTGGCTTTGCCTCGCAGCCCGTGCTTACACCAGACCTTGGTTCAGAGCCCTTGGGCTGCAAAGGCGAGAGGGAGCCTGAGCTCATCCTCCTTCCCGCTTGCCTTCGCTTCCGAAGCAAAGCTTCTAGGGAAGGTGACCTTAAGGACTGTCTGATTTACATTCATGCCGTCCTTATGTCACAGCAGCATACACGTGTGCGGTTAATGAGCTATAGCAGCCCAGCGTGGAGCAGGCACCTATAGAAAGGCACACGCCAAGAGACTTTGTGGYGTTTCTTGCCTAAGAGGAGCACTGGATTCTGGCTGCCTTTCTGCCTTTGGGCACGAGGGGGTAAATAGTTGGAACTTGGATTTGCTTGACAAAGATCTGACTTCTGTTGTCACTTAGGGGCTGTTAAGTTCTTTAGAAAAGCCAGTTCTTGTGTTGCTATTTGTATTCTGCCACCAGCGTTTTCCACGCTTGACCAATGGAAGTCAGCTCCCTGCTTTCGCTTCCCCTTTTAAGATCCCTTGCGCTGCAGCGCTCACTCCCTGGACGCGGGGCAGAGGCGCGCGCTTGCGTGAACACAGATGTTTTCCCTTGKTCTGGCTTGGAAGAAACCTCATGTCCACAGTTTCCTCTCCTCCCCCAGCGCCTTCCGGCCAGYGCGTGTTGGCAGGACTTAAGGTTTGGCTCGACGGAGACGCTTTAAGGTGTGGATCCTGCAGTCCACGCCGAAACAATGAGCCCCGGCGGCCGGCCCGACGTGAGCGAAGGCGCACGCAGCCGGCGGGAAGCAGGAGAGAGGATCCTAAGGAAAACACATTCAGGGCAATTAGCAGCTCGGGGTGATGGCTGCCAGGAGAGGAGGCCGCCCCATGGCTGAGGCCCACRCCTGGCACTCGGTACGTGCCACACATGGCCTGGGTGACCTCTGGGAAGCCCTAAGAGCTCCCGTGGGACCTGCGTTTGGCGAGTGCGCTGGAAGGAGAGGCCCGGGGACTTTCTGGCTGCCGCTCGGGCAAGGGCCAAGCTGCCTGTCCCACGGGGCGTCACAGGAAGAGAGGCAGAGCTGGGGGTACTCGTGCGGGTCTGCCACAATTGTGGAGGAAACCCTGAAGTCCTGCTCGCAATTTCCTGAGCTGGGACCTGGCCAGATACCTGGGGAGGGGCCTTTTCCCCTGGCTTCTTCCCTGCTCCCTGGAAAGCCCTGTTGGGCCTTACCAGTGGCTGCTCAATCTCTTTAACAGCTCTTTAATAGTCCTCCGACCTGTGAGGGCCTCCTCCAAACGCCCAGAAATCCATCCATGTTTTCACCTCTCCGAACAGTTCATTTTAGCAAGTGTCAAGGGGATGGGAATTCAAAATCCGTCATCCTCGTGTCAGCCTTAACAGCTGAGACGGTAGCAAAGACGAATGACTGGAGTGGGTACATTTATTACCGTAGCACTTGGGTAGTGCGGGGACTCTTTGGAAGATTATTATTTGAAAAGGAGTAATATTTTGCTTTCCTGAGGGAAAAGGAAGGTTTCCCTTCACCCATCTCACTGGGGACGGCCACGGCTCTGAGCCTGGAGAGTTTGAGGCCAGGATGGAGGGTCCTGGCCCAGCTCTACGTTTTCAAGGGTCATTTAATGCCATCTCCTGTGTAACAAAAGACTCTGTCCCTGGAGATATTTCTAAAGAAACAGAAGTTTTAAGCTCTTTTTGCATGTGAGGGACAGCCCAGCCAGCTGGCAAACAGAGATACCTAATCCCTACAGGAAAGGCCACGGGGCCATGGGGTAGCGGTGACCACCACCGAAGTGCCCTCAGGTGGTTGCCTACTAACTGCACCGCGGGGTAAATGATTTCCAGAGATGCCAACGGAGCCGAAACGCCGCTGCTCTGTCAGCTGCTCTCGTTTCACCTACTGCTCTCGCTCTTTTGTCCTTGATGCCAATGGTGTTTGCGCTCCATCTTGTGTCAGCGCCCGGTTCGGGATGTGTCTGCCATGGAGCCGCGCGCTCCGAGTTCGCTTGCTCGGCCCGCGGAGCCGCGTGCCGAGCAAGCGAACCCGGAGCGCGTGGCTCCGCCGGCGTGGAACCGCCGTGCCGGGAAGGGCGTCCTTAGCGTGAGGAAGGGAGCCGGGCAACGGGACCCACAAAGAAGGGAGGGCACAAGGCACTGCCAGCTCAATGCTGGACGGGTTTGTGAAGGAAAGCTGCTCTGCTGAGGAAGCTCCGTGTGCCCATAGTGTAGCAAGGGGGAGGAAACCGTGCTGGCCTTCCAGGGCACGTTCCTGGACCTAAACTACCTCAGCAGAAATGTAGCCAGCGGTGACCGYTGTGCGAAGCCTTCTCCATGTGTGCTGGACTTACGCCATCTTCCCCCACCTTTGGAGCTGCCTGCAGTAACTTGGACACGCCAAGGAGGCCGCRTCGCTCGGGTTTGTCACGCAGCTCGTGCCGGGGCTCTTGGCCTCGCGTGTCCTCGTCTTGAGGGAGATGCCCCGCTCCGCTAAYGTGCTGGTGCTGCTCCTCCTTATGCTCCCGGCCTCTGGCGGAATCAGCCTGCGGAAGAGCCCGCAGCTTTGCTCGGCGGCTGAAGTCAAGACGCTGCCATTAGGTGCGCCCTGAGCCGATTCATGTGGGAAACCGTGGCCCTGTGGAGAGGGCTCCTGTTGGCGGCTGGGGCCGAGCGCTCCCGTTTGCCGTGGCCTGCCCTGGGAGCGATGCCGGTCAGGGGAAGCTTTGCTTTGCCACTTCGGGAACCGGCAAAGAAACTGTTCCCGTGGCGCCTGCGGTGAGTTCGGGTCGTCCTCCCTGGCTTTTTGTTTCGTCTCCAGTGCTGCGGGGGGCTTTGACTTGGGGTCTCTGCCAGCTGCCAGRGTGCCGGTCTCGGGGCGCGCTGGGCTCCGCGCTGCCCCTTCCCTCAACGTTGAACCGTTTTAGACGCGGGGGTGTTTGGGGAGCASCCCCCGCCTCCTCTGCAGGAGTGCAGAGAGGAGCAAGGGGTAAATGCAGAGCAGTTTTGTGTCCCCCGCATTGTCCTTAGGGGCACTGCCYGTCCCTGTGTGCTCGCTGTGCCCCACAAGTCAGGGTGAGCAAAGACAAATCTTACTCCTTGAGTTTGCTTTTGTTGCACAAGTGAATCCTTTGCTCCTCGTTTCCGAAAGGAGAAGGCTGCATGACGAGCCTGTAGGTGCCCTTGCTGCCTTTCCAAAGAGGCAGGCAGAGAGGGAAGCAGGGGCCTGCGCTCTCCCGCCGCTCTTCTCACTGTATTTTCTGTGTTCCCAACAGGCATGGACGGGAAGAAATGCAGCGTGTGGATGTTTTTACCGCTCGTGTTCACCCTGTTCACCTCAACGGGCTTATGGATAGTGTAAGTTGCCTCTTGCGGACGTGCTCCGGCCCGGCTTTGGGCAGGAGCTTTGGACTATGAGCTCAAATTTCTCAGCACCCAACACCGTTACCGACAGCTTCACGCTGCCGCCGCTCTTTCGCCCGGATATTTCCTAGGAAAACCCACACGGGCCTTGCATTTCCCCATTCCCCTCTGTATGAGAGCTGCTTTTTGTGGGGAGCGCGGCGAAGCACGTGCACGAAACGGCCCCAATGGAAAAGGAAAGGTTATTTTTAACCCAGCTCAGCTCGGTGACCTCCTTTCCTTACCTGCCCTTGCAGCGCGGATGTAACGCCAGGGTAGATGCCACCTTGGGATGGGGAGCGAGTAGGGAACTGTCCTGGCTGCTCGAGCGGCGGCTGGTTTGGGGGTGACCCAGGGCCAAGGGGCTTTGGGATGCCCSTTGTTGTGTTGTCTGGATAGTACTTGGAACGGCACCCGGAATGAGGTTTTACACTCTTTTGGTCTTCTTCCTCACTTGACAGGTACTTTATAGCCGTGGAAGATAACAAAATTATTCCACTAAGCGTGCCAGATAGGTAAGACTTGCCTGTGTTTTTTTTCTCTATCTAAAATCAGTTGTTTGTGTTTTTTTTTTTTTAAAAAAGAAAAAAGATAAAAGCTAAATGAGAGGGATAAAAAATGTTGAATCCTGGTTCCTGTGCATTTATGTCTCCTAGGAAACCTGGTTCTAAAAGACCCCCTTATATAAGGTAAGGGAATAGTTTTCTTCCAATTACCCTTCTTATTAATGGGTGTTATTCACCTCTTTGTGCCATCCCCAAATTACAATGATAAACTTTATATTTTCCAAGTATTGCAGGTGATGCACCTCCTGCAAGCTGTGTCTTTAGCCAAGTCATGAACATGGCAGCATTTCTAGGTAGGAACCACAAGGAGAATGTTTCCTTCTCTCTCATTATTCATTTAAAAAGTCATTGGGACACAAGTAACATCCAATAAGTACTGCACATGGATCTGGTGCTGAGAAATCATTTCCACTGCTGTTGCTACCGATTAAGCCAGTATTATTTTGTCTTCATTTGTAGAATGAAGCTGGATGCATCCCAACTTTTAATTCCCTTGAGTTGTTCCCATCAGGGTTTTAGAAAAAAAAAAATCACACACAATTTCAGGGGACTGATATTTCTAAGTTTTCTAAGGATCCTGGCCTGTAGAAATGGAAATGAGAAAATTCCTGCAGATGAAAAATAGAAAATCTGTTTTTTTTTTTTTTTGTGGAGAACAAAGATCATCTTCTGTTTTCCAGGATTTGGAGGATACTGATTCTCCAGAGCAAATCATGAGAGAATAAATTAAAACAGCTTTTGCGATTTGGATTTTTCACTTACAGTGCCCTTGTTTTTCTAAACCACATTTTTTTTGGTGTTATACCACCGTTTTTGTGGATAATATAGATCTATTTTGCTCACACAGACATTTGTAACCATATGACCAGCATGTAATGAGTCTGAGCCTAAGCCTAAGGAGGGGTTCAAGCTAGCAAAACCTCCGTACTACCTTGCTTTTCCAGCTGCTTGTTTTGGATGGCAGCCCAGAGCAAACCGATTGCTTAGCTTTCCGTGTTATCCAAGCAGTATTCCCGAGGGAATGCAAGAGGGAACCATGTGAAGTTCTCCTAGGGTTATGCTCTGATGTAGCCATATACATCCTGGGCCGTACATTGCACACCGTATAACGGTCCTTTGGCCAGGATTGCAGCAGCCGCAGCAGGGCTGCTCCTCCAGCCTTTGCAGGAAAAATATTACATGAATATTCCCAGCTGCTTGTCTCCTTCAGTTTGGAGAAAGCCTGAAAGATCCCGGGGTGGCCACGGGTGCAGCTCCTGGTCCCGGAAAGCCGGGTCCAGCCCTACTTGGGTTAGAGGAGAAAGTCTCCTGGTGTTTCATGCCTCACATGACTAGCGGGAGGGGGGCCATGCAGAACCCTTAGCTCTAGTCTGCAGGTGGGTCCCGTAGGCCCGAGTGCCCCAGGCAGGTAGTTGCTGCAGTGTTTTACCTAAGGACACATCTCGGAATCTCTGCTTCTTCATCAGCGCTGGTGGTTTCTGTGCTGCGCTTCATTCAGCTGAAGCCCAAGGTGCTAAACCCTTGGCTCAACATCAGCGGCCTCGTGGCCTTGTGCCTGGCCTCCTTTGGCATGACTCTCCTCGGCAACTTTCAGGTACTGCTCCCTTGGTTCCTCCCCTCCATCCACCCGTTTATTACTCCTTAACCTGCTCCTCCTYCTCGGACCACTTTGCATCATGAAGCACAGCTAGGGCTGATCAAATAGGTCCGACTACCTCTGACGTGAGCTCTGGAGATAACGTGTGAGGCTGTCCCAGACCTCCTCTACCTGCTCTGCCAGCTCCATGTGCCGTAGGAAGCGGCTGCAGCAACATGCTGAGATGAAGGATCCTGATAATTTTTCAGGTCTTCCCAGCAGGAGCAGCACCCTCGTGCTCGCGCTCCCCGTGCGGACAGCCGGTGCCCACTGAATCTCTTGAGCCCTGCGACTGGCACGGATGGTCCTGGGTGAAAAGACTGACCTCCAAATCCATGTGGGCAGCTGTGCTAACAGACACACGGCTGCCCCCCCGGATCCAGCATAAAAATCCTGTGTGCCTCACCTGAMATGTGTCTGTCGATCAAATCTGCCTCCTGCTTGTGCTCGGACTGGCCACGAGAGGGATGCAGTGGAAAAATCCTTCTTTTCCCGATGTGAGGGGTGCCCTGGCTGAGGTCGGTGCAGTCTCTGATCTTCTGCTCTGTCCAGGCAAACAAGCTGTGAGCTGCACCAGCTTGCTCTGTAGGGCGAGGATATAGGGTTATTCACTTATTTTTGTACAGATATGGAAGCTATTTTGATTGTTTCTGATTTTCCCCAACTCTGACTCTTAGAGGCTAAACTGTTTTTTTCCTGCAAGCTTCCCAGCTGGAAACTCCTTGGCTCCTTTTAACAGACTTCTATTGCTGTGAGAAGGATGCTGCTTGTACTGCACAGGGCCAGGGAAGCAGTTTCCACCTTCCTCCTTTCACTTTCCCCTCGGAGCAAAGGCCTGTTCCTTAAAAGTGGGTGCTCTGAATCATTCTAGTTTATGGACTCTGCACTCATAATCCCTGCCTTCCTGCTTAGCGGTATTTTTGCTTAGATCTTGTGCCAAATCGTTGAAAGTATGTGGTAATTAGACCTTGGTCTGCGCTTTTTTTCTTCCTTTTTCTTTTTTTCTCTTTTTTTTTCTTTTTTTTGAGCTGAATGTGGCATTAAATCACATTTTTGGAAAATTACAGATTGGGATGTTTTATAGAGATGCCTTGGGAAAGCCAGCTCAGCCCTGTTTTCATCTGTGCCATCAGTTGAAATAAGTTTTTATAAATAAAAAGAAACAAAATGAGGAGGAAGCGGGGAAGGAGCTCGGTGAAGGCAGAGCTATAGGTTGTTATTTTGTAAATTGTGGCTTGTTTGATGGGAATTTCTTAAGTCATAGCCGGCTGCARGGAGGAATTATGACTTTATTGTTTCTTTCCTAGGGGATCCTCAGAGGGAAAAGGGAAATTGTTGAGCTTGTTTCTTGCCTATTCTGGGCTTTCCGAGTCGAGTTGCGCCCTGGAGGGGGCTCTTTGCAGGCTCCTRCGCCTTGAGCCTGGCTTTGCCTCGGCCTTGTAGAGCCGGGGCTCTGGCCGCTCCCTGGCTGGGCAGCACTGGCTTGTTTCTGCCGAGCAAGACCCAGCGGGCTGTCCTTGCAGGGATGCCAAGGCGGGAAAGGGCTGCTCTCCGAGCACAGCCCTGGTGGCTCTCGTCAGGATGCTGCCCAGCGGCGTCCCCAGGACCTTGCACCTTCCGCTGTGCTTGGCGGGAGGCAGAAGATCCTCTTGCCTGGGGCAGCTACCTCGTCCTGGTTACAGGACACCTTAGGTCTCAGCCAGAGGAAACGTTGCAGCATGTCTGTCTCATTGCCCTTATCATTCCCCCTCTTCTCTATCCCACCCCAGCAGCACCCCTCCCTGGCTAGTAGATGGTTTCTGTTGCGCCCGACCCACAGCAGTGCTGTTTCCTCCTAGCTGTCCAATGATGAGGAGATCCACAACGTGGGCACCTCGCTGACCTTCGGCTTCGGCACCTTGGCCTGCTGGATCCAGTCCGCCCTCACCCTCAAGATCAACCTGAAGAACGAAGGACGGAAAGTCGGGATCCCCCGAGTTGCCCTGTCCGCCGGCATCACCCTCTGCGTGGTGCTCTGTATCCTTTGGTCTGGCTCCTTGGGAAGGCAGGTGACCTAGAGGTCTGGCGCTCTCTCAAGCAGGCACCACACACCTCACATCCATCCTCGGATCTCAAAGCATTCGGGCACTGGTCGTCTTGTCTCTTAACCTCATCTTGTGGCTGGTTCCTTTGTGACTCCTGCTTTACATGGAAGCACCGCTTTATTGCTGGGCTGACCTCTCACTTCCCCCATATTTTTAAAACTTGCTCATAGTGATTTCTGAGGTGGTTGTGATGCTGGAAGAGTAGCCATGTTATTTATGGCACTACCACTTAGCTGCACAGTAGCATTTAAGATCGTGCAAAATAYGGGGAGAAAAAAGTCTCGGGAAAACAAGCAAACAGGTGAAGAAATCAGGTTCCTGCAGAGGAAAAGAATTTCATGTATGTGTTAAAATGCTCCAGGCGGATACAGCCAGGTCTGTTCTCTGAAAGGAGCATCACACCCAGAAGCTGCTAGGTCACAGCAGTAGAGTGAGGCGGTGGGGTTTTGGTAGGGGAGTCTGCAGTCTGGGTGGACATGTGATTTTCTCCTCCTCTTTGTCCTTGTTGGTCCCAGTCCAGCCCTTCTATGTGCACCACTCCTCAAGTGGTCTGCAGCCCCACTTCGGYGGATCACTTCAGCATGAGTGCTGGGGCAGATGAGAGGACAGCAACGAACTCTCAGGAATAAGCTAGTCCTCCTCTTTTGGGGGACAGCCTGGTCTTAAAATAATGCTGTGGAGTTGTGTGATCCTGTGCCCTCAGACTGCAGAGGAAATGCTGAGACACAGGAGAGGGAGAAGGAGGTTTCAAGGAGAGCTACAGGGAGCCTGGGCCGTCTGCCACATCGGGAAGGTGCCCTGGGATTTAGAGAAGCTGAATATTGCTMTTAAGGAGCACTCGAACATGACACAATAGCCAGCAGGGAGACTTGGGTGCCAGGCCATATGCAGACTGAGCACACGGGTGTTTGAGCCTGGAAGACAGGTTTGGGCTCCGGCAATGTTCTTCGCAGTGTAACGTGCCATTTTGTGTAGGTTCATGTTTGCACGTTTCCCAGGAAGGGCTGATTTTGCAGGTGATGCGTGGAGAAAGGCAGATGGCAGTGTGGAGCGGAGGATATTCTCATGGCCTGTGGAGCAGTGATCTGCTCCAGCGTCTCCAGGAGGTTCCTGGAAGCTGAGGGTGCAAAGTCTGGGGCCTCGAGCCCCATCTCCCTGGCTCTGTCACGGCTCCCCAACCTCTTGGTGCCTCCTTGCCGCGTTAGATGTTTGCCAGTGTCCCGGCTCCCCCGAGCTCTCCCAGGCCATTCTCCCTAACTTCCTCTTCCAGATTTCATCCTGATGGTGCAGGACATCCACATGTACGCCGCGAGGATCCAGTGGGGCCTGGTCATGTGCTTCCTCTGCTACTTCGGCACCTTCGCCGTGGAGTTCAGGCACTACAGATTTGAGATCGTTTGCTCCGAGTATCAGGAAAACTTCCTGAGCTTTTCCGAAAGTCTATCTGAAGCCTCCGAGTACCAGACGGATCAGGTGTAGCCCATCCTCTAGTGGGGGGGCTAGGGGGGCTGCGGTGTTCTTGGGGGTTAAACATGGCCACATTGATTCTTTTTTGATGAGTTTGTTTTCCGTGTGCAATCACACCTGTATTGCCAAAGGGCTCGGAGGGCAGCTGCCTCCCAAAGAGCCGTCAGAAACACCCGTCCGATGGAGGAGGAGTGGGACGCTTTGACCTGCAGGGTGAGGGAGCTCCGGGTTCTGCTCCCAGTGACTCTTTCTGGGCAGCTGCCGCAGTCCCGCGGCTAAGGAAGGAAGGAAGGAAGGAAGGAAGGAAGGAAGGAAGGAAGGAAGGGAAAGGACCCGCGTGGGCACGGCGAGCCCTGCCGAAGTCGCCAGCTTCCCAGTCACTAGACCTCATCCTCCATGTATGTAGCGCTCTCTTGTTTGCAACTTGGTAACCTGCTTTGTGTAGCTGGGTAGGGGCAGGAAAGGAGCCTCCTGACCGAGRCTGCCCCATAGCCAGGCGGGTCGCGTACCCGCCGGCGCGGCCCCGGCTCCCGCTGCCGTGGGGCACGGCGCTCTCCTCCGCCTGCCAGGCCCAGCAGCTGGGCCCAGCAAAGGCAGCCGCTGAGTCCAGGCACRGGGGGCTGCCTGGACGCTCCAAAGCCGACCCGGGAGGGCTGCTTCCTGTAGGAGTTTAGGGCTTCCAGTGCATGGCACGGCAAATATTTCAAAATCCTTTTTTTTTTTTTTTCATTGTTGTTTTTAAAGACACCATACTTACCCACAATGGAGACCTGTTGTGGGTGGGTTTTACGGGCATAGTTTTGGTTTTGCCCCTCGCGCGCTTAGAGGTCAAGTTTCAGAGAGCTGCTGGCAGGCCTAGGCTCTGCTTCRGCTCCAGCCCTCCCTCCGGGGCCGGTTTTCCTGAGCGGGCTCTGCCACGAGCTCCGGATTTGAAGGTTGGGCTTCCTAGGAGCAGAGTCCCAGGAGGACCAGGGCTTGGGAAGTTGCAGGAAGCAACCAGGGAGGAGACAAGAGCTTCTCCCCGAGGGCAAGGGAATTAATCCTTCCTCTCCTCTGAGCTGAATGACCAAAACCAGTTTTATTGCGGACTCCCAACCGGGGCTGGAATTGCAACCCMGAAGTGAGGAACTTTTCCAGCAGACGAGCGGGCTGCTGCCTCCGCTGAGCTCAGGAAGGCATCGTGTCATCGCCGCGGGAAGAGCAGCAGAACGGAAAACGGTGGCAAGAAGACATTTGAAGGGGAACTCCTACCCCCGAGTGGCATTTCTGACAGAAGGGAAAGGGCACGGGGGAATTCAGGGCTCAGCCAGGGAACGCGAGAGGAAAGCTGCCAAAACCAGCGCCAACGGGAAGCTTCCAAGCAGCCCTTCACGTCGTTGGGGCAAAACTTGCTGTCGGCAGCTCCGCTGCGCGCGGGCTGTGGGCTGGATTGCTGCAGCTCCCCCTRCTCCTCGGAGCTGCGGCGCTAGCGGGAGGCTCGTGTCCATCTGCACGGGGGGACCGCAGCGCCGCGCACGGAGGGGACACGGGGACACGGACGGGGATTCTCATACACCCTGAGCGCGGCCGCAGCAGGGAACAGTGTTCTGGTTTAATGGTGTTTTACTGTAAATAGGCCACTGTGACTTTTTTTTTAATTATTATTATTCAAGTACTATGTTCAGTTTTCTCATTTTATATTTTGGAATTTTATCAAAGGAAAAAAAAAAAAAGATGATGTTTGTGATTTTTTTTTTCTTTTCCTATATGCAATCCAAACTGAAATTCAGGTTTTTGGTGATAACTCTGTACATTTCTTACCGTGTTTCTAACAGCACATTTCCATACAGTAAAAGGACTGCCGCTCCACACAGAAACAGGACCACTAAGTAAAGTGCTTTTATGGAGAACGTGTGCTTTATTTTTCCCCCGTACCCCATGCACAGTTGTATGACGGACAAGACAGAACAGGAGATGAGTATTTACACTGTCGTGACACAAATTAACAGTAAAGAAGCCAGGGACTAGTCAGCCATGCAGATACACTCCTTGTAACAGCTGCGAATTAGCAGGCTTGTTCTGGGGGGCAGATCAGGCCCGGGAAGGCACTGCCTCTGCTTCCAAGCCTTGCCTGCTACCATCAGTGTTTTACGGTGCTGGCATGAGGGGAATTCCTCCCCAAATGCCTTTCTCAGGCTTGTTGTCTACCCAACAGCCTCAGCACGGACATCTAGACATACATCAGAGTTCGGGAGAGCGTTTGGATTCTGTTTGGGCGCTCTCAGCGCAGAGCCAGGAGCGCAGGCTCATGCCCAGCCCTACAGAAACCAGCTAATGATCCCCAGGAACAAGGTCCCAGCAGGAGCGAACGGGGTCTCAAGGTTTCACGCCGCCCCTGTTCCTGCTCTTATTTGTTTCTGAGCCTTTGTACCCTGCTCGAATCACAGGATGATTTGGGAGGTAGTGCTGCTTCCTTAGAGGGGCAGGCTCGCCTGCCTCAAAGAATTGGACCAGGAAGGATAAAGCGGAAGAAACGACGTGTTTACGGGTTTAAAAAAATAGAGCTGCCTTTAAGTGATGGAGTCAGTGACAGACAGGACAGCTAAATACTGCAGCAGAGCCAACACAGTGAAAGCAAACTGGYGTTTTCATTGACTGCAGTAGGAGAAGCTCCGTGAGCATCTGGTATAAACTGGCACAATTTAGGCAGGGGGGTGCGAAAAGGCTCGGGTTTTAGTGCTCAACGAATSCAGCAGGATGCACCCGTTAGCAGCAATCCCATATAAAGAGCTGCTCCCAGGTGCTGGGATTGGTTGGTCTTGCTGCTGAGCAGCTGCTCAGTGGGAATGGGTCAGCRATGCAGCTGCTTGGCCCCTACAGCTCCACAGCACTCAGTAGCGCCATGAGGTGAGTTTAGGATTTAGTTTTTCAATAGATACGGGCCTAACTTTGAGACGGTTAACTTAATGCGTGAGGCAGAAATGCCCTCTTCAGGGTGAAGCTTGTTTTGCCTCCTGATGCCCTCTGGGAGAAGTGGGGACGCAAGCTCTGTTTGCAGAACGCTCTCGGGGAGGACGCTGCTCCCGAAGGGGCTCCTCAGCACCAGGACGCAATTAAGTGACCTGGAGGGAAGCCTCCTCCGGGCTAATTCCTACCTGGAAAGCCAAGGAAAAGCAGCGTTCGTGGGCCTTGCTCCTCAGACTGCTCGCAGCTCCTGGCAGGCTTTTGCAGTCCTAGTGCATTAGGAACCCGCCGCCGTTCTCCCCACCACACCTGCCCTAGTTGTGGGTCCAAAACATGATGTGGGTTTGGCTTTAAACTCTGATTACTGACATAGTTAACTAAGGTTACACGAAGACAACCGAGGGGAAGCACAGCCGTCTGTGCGTGCCCCCCCTTCCCTAGGTGGAGGAAGGCAGGAAAAGTTCAGTGAAAGATGAGATGAGGCTGTAATAGGACTTCTCGTCGTCCGTCAGCCCCGCGTTGCCAGGCCTGATGACCACAGCCACGTGGGTATCGGCTTCCTCGGCAGCGTTCGCCTCTGAAACAGAGAGGAGAGAGAGCAGGGATGAAAAACCCCCCAAAACACCGGCGTGTTTTTTAAAGGGTGAGACTTCACAAAATGACTTTAGTGTGTGGTGCTGTAGGGTCCTAGTACAGCGCGGAGCAGATGCTCTCTGGATGCTCCCGTGCAGGCAGCAGACGCTGCAGCTGGACCTGCACCACCAAGAAGCTGCACCGGAGCCGGGCAGTGGTGTTAGCAAAGGAAACACCTGCAACTACCCTAGAGCCGGGAAAAAAGCGTTCTCCATGCAGACAACTGGTGGGTCTCCCTCCAGACCTGTCTCCAACGCCCTTTGGCCTCCCAAACCACTCCATTGTTTCTCTCTCTGGAAAACTCACAAGCTCCATCAGGTGCCCACTMGGTCACCCTAGTGCTCCCTAGGTCCCGAGCAGCCTGGACGTGCTGTGCCAGTCACGTCCCCTACACGGTGCGTGTACAGCCCCGGGGCATGTGGCTGCAGAGGGGGATTGTGGCAGCTCTGTCAGAGCCCTCCGAGGGATGCAGAGCAGCCCAGGACGGAGTATTGGCTGCTCTGTAGAGAGGAGGGAAGAACACTCCGATCCGCTGCTGTTTGAGGACCTGAAGCTTGAGGAAAGAGCAGGGCAGTGTGGTTGGGTGGATGCCATGGAAGTAAGGCAGGGTGCAGCATTTGGGGGTGTTTGTTGCAAGTCAGCAACATGTGGCTGAAGATCCTCCTCCCAACAGGAGAGCCTGCAGGCCCAGCAGGCCACCTACCTCGAGGGACATCGGTCAAGAAGAGGATGTTGTTAGTTGCACACCCGATGCTCTCCGCGATCCTTCTGTAGCTCTCGCTTTCTACCTTGGGACCTATCTTGGTATCGAAGTGGCCATCAAAGAGCTAAAAGAGAAAGGTAAAAGCAACTGCTGCACCTGAAGAGCAGAGCTACAGGGAGTCCCTTTTCATTCCCACCACAACAGGAGCCAACGAAGAGCTCCTAGCCCTGGCACTGAGCAGATCTGTGGGCAACATGATGCTTTTAACAGCAYAGAGAGGAGGCAGAGCTGTACAGAGAGGAGTTCCACAGAGCTTTTCTCCTCGTCTTTAAGTTAGAGATATTGCTCCGTGGCATCAGGTGCTTGTCACCAATCCTTAGGGTGCTCTGCTCAGCTTCTCTTTTTCTGCAGGACTTTATGAAATGGGGACCAACTTAAAATGAGAAACAAGCCTGGGACAGGACAACAGGTATGTCCCAACCCCTGCCCAGCTGCGCTAACCACAGCCCTGCTGAGTGCTGAACTCGCTTTCTGCTCTCACTGGTGGCGCACGTGGGGCTGCAGCTACAGTTTTTGGTTGGTGGAGCTGCTCTGCACATCAAGTTTATTGCTGTTTTTCTACATAAGACTCTATTCTTCAAGTGGTAACAGCAAGAGCAGTCGTGCCCTCCCAATTCTTGGAATGAACTGCTCTGCAGAGGGAGAATCTGTAAGGCAAGTGATGAGCTTATCTACCTCTAGAATATCACCTTCTGTAGAGTAGCCGAASAGGAGCTTCTGGGCTTCCACGCTCCCTGAGGAGTAGATGTAGATCTTCATCCCTGCTTCTCTCCACTTCCGGATGGCTGGAACCACATCCTCAAAGACTCTGGGAAGCAAAACAGGAAAGCGGGTAAGGACCAAGCCCGGACATGCCCTAGCTTGAGCCATGCACCATGTGAACTGTCCCATCGGCACCAATAAGGATTTCATCTTCAATCCGACCAATGCTTTCAGCATCCTGTAACATATTCTTAACTCCAGGTGACTGAGTGGCTCCTTGATGGCTACGCAGGCAGCAGCTCCGATGAGCTGTTCCCAGATATTTGGCAGGAGCTTCTGCAGCCCCTTCAGTTTGGAGAGGGGAGGAAAGGCTTGGGAACGTGGCCTCCAGCCACTGTTGTGCAGCAAGGAGGAATAAGRAGGAGGTGGACAGGGAATAAGACAAGCTCTTGCATCCTGCATCCCGCCTGCCTGATGAGGTTTAAGTTTTGGCAGGAGTTGTGCCTATAAGCTACGTATCTGAACAGGGTAAAGCCACCCAAACATGCATAGAGAGGAGATAAGATTTTACTACTTTAGGAATGTGAAGTGCACAGTTTAACCAAATGTCTCAGGACTCTGGCAGTCCCTTTTTATACACCCTTGGGTTACAGCTGAAACACAAAGAGGAGTCTGGAAGACAAAAAGAAGTGGAAAGGCAAGAGATCCTCAGGTAAGAGGACAAAGCAGGAGGAAATGAGTAAAAGAAATAAAATGACTCCTGTTTCACAGCAGCAGCGGCCTGGCTTAAGTCACCTTTGAAAGCAAACACATTGGCTTCTCTGCTGGGGGGTTTTCTATCTTAATGTTCATTTTCTGGATTTTATACAGGTATTCCAGGGAAAGGTTTCGAATGCCAGAGTTACTCACTCTCCTTTCACGTGTCCTGTTGCATAGGCCGCCCTCCACATATGGCCCTGCAGTTGTTTCAGCGCTGTGGTCTTTCTGTCCAGGGACATCTGCCAGCGCACGTTGTCCACGACGGCCTGGATAACCCGCTCCAGCTCCTCCTCGCCGCTCCCGCTCTCCAGAGGGATTGGGACAACTCCATCCAAGCTGGAGTCCTCTAGAGCCTGCAGTTCACCAGCCACAAAAAGAGGTGGGGAGGAGGCAGGGTGGTGTCAAGATGAAGCTATCAGATTGGGATGCGTTTTCTCACGCTGAGGCTGTCTGCTGCGCAGGGCCAGAACCTGCCACCCCGTGCAGGACAAGTGCTCTGCCAACCYCTTCCCACGCTGCTTCCCAAGCAGGCGCCCAGAGGCTGCGCGTGGCAGCTTGAGCAGGGACTCCCAGCTGCACACCAAGCAGGGCAGCTTGAGCACCACGCGGACACCGTGCCGGGCCGAGGATGCGCCTCGGCAGCCGATGCTCGTGCAGGACAAGCTCTGCCCATCGAGGGACAGGCCTTGGGGGGCACTTGCCTCCACGGGGGGATGGAGAAGACCCCTCGGGTTGTCTGCAGAGACTGCAGGGGAGCTGGAGTYCCAAGCAGGCAGTAAAACCACATGGAGACACTTATCCAGCCCACCTGTTTGCGCAGCAGCCCGACGTCCCGCTGGCACTCCTCCTCCTCCCAGTGCGCGCGCAGGTACTCCTTAATGTTGTCCGTGATGTAGGGGAACAAGGTGTCCTGCGGGCACATGACAAAAGCAGGCAGCGCGGTTAAGCGGAYGCAGGTAAGTCAGGCTTAGTCTTAAACCCCCCACGTGCACATGCTGGCAGGTCTGATTGTTTTTCCCGCTCTGTTCTCACTTTCTCTCCAGCGTGACAAGCTACACAACCCTGTGCCCAAGTTGTCTGTCTGCTTTCACATCAACACTAACYTTGAACTAAGCTTAGTACTTGGCTTAGAAGAAAAGTTTAGGTAGGTGCAGCTTCCCAGGCTCAGCAAGGAAAGCAGCRGAAGAGGCTTCACCAGCAGCAAAGTTCCTTGTGTGAATGAGCAGGTGACCGAGCCTTTCCCTGGACTTGTCTGAAGGCATTAACTCCCTCACGTGGTAGATAGGACTGTGAGTTCCCACAAACTCGGGATTTGAAGGCCGCCCGCCCGCTGACGTGCTCCGAAGCGACAAGTTGCCCTGTTCTATTTTTACTGGCCCCGCTGTCCTCAGCGAGGTCGCGCTGGAGTGAAATTCAAGTTGTCACCCAAAGGAGGCAACTGTGTGCGCGGCGGCCTGCAGAAACACGCTGGTTCGGGAAACACTGAGCTCCACAATGGAAAACAGTGAAAAAACGCTTCCAAACGAAATAAAAGGGAGGCAGGAAAGATGCTAACACAGTTACAGGTAACCACAGACATGTGGGCAAGCAGAAACAGTTACAGATTATTTCCATTGCCGGTGYTTTCGTGGCAGCCGGGTGTGTTGACGGATAAGGGCCCCGGGCCAAGGAGCAGCCTTGGGACAGGAGGGCAGRCAGGGAGCCCTTCCGTCCCCATCCAGGTGTCCCCGTCCACGGGTGACGGATGGGGACGTTGCTTTGAAACAGCACTAGGGGGTTGGCTCTGCGGCCCCAAACCCGGGTTTGTAAAAGGTGAGGGCYTGAGAACACACGTTGGCTTTGCGGGGAGAGGTACGATGGCTTGGTCTTGATTTCGGTGGCAGACAGAAAACCATTAGTGAACAGAGCTGCATTTACGGAGCTTTTTTGGAAGGAGGAAGGCTTTGAAGAGAGCTTTTCGTCAAAGGATGTCACAGTCACTCTTTTTTTTTTCCCCCTTTAATCAGTTAGATAAAAGCATTTTTTCCTTCTCAGTTTCTCCTAATTTGATACATCGAATTTTCAGTTTGTCCCATCCACGGTGATACTGCCTCACTGCAAAAGGAACTGAAGTGTAGGCAAAAAATAGGAGGTGGAAGAGTAGGGGGAAAACTAAACTCATCTCTCCTGAAGCAGAACAAAAAGCCAATGCTTTTTTTTATCCTCTCTCTGTGTCACCTTTAATACTGTCACGGAGCAGAGCACGACGTGATGTGAGTTACCTTCATTTTACTGTCACCTCTTCAGTCAACTGAGGTCCAGGTAATATTGGCCATACTTGTGAAAATGAAGCTTTGCTGCAACGTACAGGGGCAGAAAATTGGACTACCGTTTAATTAGAAGAAGAGTCCGAAATGCCCACGTGTTATTTAATTAAAAAAAAACCCAAAAGTGTTCCTGAAAGCAGTGTGTAGCAACAAGACTCTTTGATTCTTTTCAATCACTAAACTGTTGCATATTTTAAAGGTAATGTAAATGTGGGAGGAAAAGCAAATCTTTTTATAAGCCAAAATAAACCTCCCATAAAACTGCCCCAGGAAATCGGCAGCCGTGTCATACCAGCAGCCGCTTTCTCATTCCCTCATTTGAGCTCAGTAAGTTTCAAGGTACCTTTTAGATTTCCTAGGAAATCACACAGCATCCGTGGGGAAAGGGACTTGACTCCGTGCCATGGTGTTGTTATCCTGGGGGTTATTTTTAGTGGCTGAAATAGGAGCGAGCGGGTGGCACGGCCGAGTTTGCCAGGGAGCCCAAGCCTGGGATGAGCCCAGCGAGAGCAGAGCAGAACAAAATCCCAGGCAGCGAGTCCCGAGATCTTTTTCCTGGTAAGCAGATTGTTATCCCGTTCGTTACTAGAAATAAATTAACAGCTGGAATGTAAAATGTCCCGTCTGAATCAGATGCTACCTTGGCTTTGGAGGCGAGTTTCCTCCTGCTGCTGCTGCCTGGGGAGGCAGCACTGCGGGAACAGCAGCTCTGCAGGCATTAGCTAAGCGGGAGGTCTTGAGGGGACTGACTTAAAGCCAGATTAATTGTATTTGTAGCTGAAAACTTAAGCAAAAGGGGCATAAGAAGGCTGCAGGGAAGCCTGTGGGAAGGGAGAGAGGCGTGGATAGCCTGAGATAACACGCTGGGCAATATTGACCGCTGTGTGAAAGGTTCTGTGAAATTCAGTGTATTCGGTGATGAAGTGGATTGTAAGCGCTGGAACCCGACCCGAAGCGCGCGCTGCTGGTAAACGGGGCGCTCTGGTTGGAGAAACGATACCTGGGGGGAAATCAGTGAATTAGTGACGAGCAGCATGGGACAGATCRCTTAGAAAGCTCCAGGTTGATCCCAGAGAAACGACCATCTGCGTTTCAAGGGCTGGGAGTTTGTGTAGAAGAATGATTCCCGGCATCCTATTAAAAAAGTCCGGTTTTCCAGAAACCAGACCTTTTCCAGAAAGGCCTTAGCTTTCAACAGGTCCCTCGCTGGCAGTTGGGGTTAATGGGGGCCCTAGGGCTGCTCTAACCAGCCCAGTAAATTGGCCCAGTTTTCCATTTTGGATACAGGAGGCGCAGACGTGCGCGAAGCCGAGTGCTCCGGCTCGGGGAGCCGCCTTCCCGCCCCATCTCGCCGCTCGCAGCGACATTAAGCCACGTAACGAGCGGGGTTTATTCTCCACGTGACAGCCTGGCAGCGCGCTGGGATTAGCGCCCGTGGGACAGCAGGCAGCCAAGCCGGGAGCCCGCGTGGACGGCGCAGGCCAAATCCCTCGGGACCAATAACAACCGGCTCTTCAACACGAAATCTGGCCAGGGCAAGGGGCTCGTTGAGGCTCCCGGATCCAGAGGCTAAAGCCCRGTTTACCAAATTACACCTCTCCTCGGCCATCTGCTTTCTCTGCCACTGGGGATCCAGGAAAAAAGGATTAAAAAAATCCCCCACGAAACCCACAACTTTGGTGGCATTAACATGCAAAAGATAGAGGCCTAACACCTCGGCTTAATCCACACAAATCCAAATAAACAGCCCTTTTCATAYCCAAAATTCTAGTGTTAAAGGAGTAAATGAAATTAGTAACGCCTGCAGGACCAAGGGTGGACCTTCTGAAGGGAAAACAACCGTAACAGAGGTGAAATGAAAGCCCCAGGAAAATAAATCACTTTAGGTGTCCTCGGGATTTTCAGTAAGTCRGGAGTTGTAGTTCATCTGCCTCCCTGTAGTGTAAAGACTTGAGCTAGGGAGGTTTCTTGGGCCCATTACAGGTACCGGCTACGAGCGTGACACCAAACTGCCTCCTGGGTGGTTGTAGGCAGCTTCCTCCCTCTGTTCCACTATGTGAATCGTTGCATCTGTTTGAATTAGAAGATGTCAAGGGAAGGGAAGCAGCTGTAACACCATCTAAATCAGTAGTCTTTTTTTTAATTTTTTTTGCAGAGCACTAGAAGAGCGTAGAAAGGAAATATGTAGGTCATATTGCTGAGCCGTGGAACCGTGTTAGCGGAAAGACCTAGAAAGTCTTGCAGGCGCGTTCCCCCTCCAAACACTATGTGGGTCACAAAGCACCCTCCCCTACTCTAAAGAAAAACTGAATTATTGGCACAAAACACCCACCAAAAGCCCTAAGATGCCTCAGGGAGGTGGACACTGAGGGCAGGAGCAGTCCGTAGCGACCCAGCGTCTCGAACGCGGGGCAGTTCCTCCCTTCCGTGCAGGGTACGGCAGACTCCAGCTGCGGGGGACCCCCRAGCTGCAGCTGCGGGGCGCCCTGCACGTTTGAACAGCCTCTTTTTGGAGGCGGGTTGCCCAGACACCCTGCCCTGACCTAAACCAGCCCCATCACAACCTCAGGGCCCCCTCTGAGCAGTCACCCCCGCGGCACCAGTAACTACAATCCACTTGCTCCACGCRTTGCCTTCCCCTTGGGTTGGCGCTCTGAGCCACGCAGGGGGAAAAAATGTGTGTAAATCTCGGCTGGCTCTTGCCCTTGCAAAGGGAAAAGGCGGGCGATGCCCTAGGGCTGTGATTTCGGGCTCTCTGCACACTTGCTGCTCCAGCTCCAGCTGGATTTGCACTTCGACAGCATTCCTAGCGCTACCAGGGCGTTGAAGGACTCTTAAATAGAGCCCTATTAAATACGGAGCTGCCCTGCATTAGTTCTTTACAGCCTTGGCCCCAGAAAAAAAAAAAAGGCTCATAATCCATGGGCGGCWGGAGCGCAGCACCACGGCCAAGGCAGGAAGCTCTTCCCTCTCCTGGGGAGCCTCTCGAGCACAGCCTGCAGCCTCCCAGGGGGTCACGCTTACCTTGGGGGGACAAGGGCGCTCTGAGGTGCCTAGGCCAAGGACGGGGCAGGCCCCCCCAAACTTGGCGCAACCCCGTTTTTGGGGAGCGAGCGGATCCAAGGGCAGCTACGGGCTGGCCGTCCTGCAAACCCAACGCCCCCGTCCCGGGCACACACACAAACCGGGAGCGTTTTATTTCTTCCAYCCGCCCCGCCGGGGGTATTTTCCGCCCAGGAAGGGAAGGCGCCGAGGGGCAGCGTGTCCCGCAGCCCGGCGCAGCCTCCCACGTGCGGGGATGGGGGGTCCAAGGGAATGGCCGCAGCCACGGGAAGCCGTGAGACCGCCCGCTAAATAAAACTAAATAATAATAATAATAATAATAATAAGAAGAAGAAGAAGAAGTAATAAAAGGGGGGAGCAGGTTCCGGCAGCGCCGCTGGGGGCCATCGGCACGGCCGCTGGCGCGGCGCTCGTGGCCGTTGGCGCGGCCGTTGGCGC